GCCCGCCGGCGTAATACATCTGAGTACTCCAACCCTCCAAGTGGTGGTTGTTTCTTGACTGGCCTGTTGTTTCCGTAACAAGATGGCCCACTCTCTGTTCATGGAGTGTACATCTCTCTAAATAAATCTACTTTTACTCAACTATGACTCGCTCTTGAATAAGAATACAAACCTGAAAAAATCAGATTAAAAATTCATTCATTCATTCATTCATTCATTCATTGTGCTACTTCAATAGGGCACACTCCAAATCAAAATTGGGATAATTACTAACTTTAATATACTCTACCAATATTTGAGTATCCACTTTTTAAAAACATTTTTCCAGTTTTTCACACTGAACAATTACTGCTTGTATAATTGGAAAAAAACCAAAAATACAATGTTAATTCTCACCAAACGGGGAAAAAACCCTACATAATTCTATTCCTCGTACATCCACAAGGTGGCACATAAACACTTCGTTTTTTATTTCACTGCTATTTGCAATTAGAAATGCAAACGGAAAATCAAACTGAAGTAATTGCTCTGTTCACTTCAGGCACTTCTAGGTACAGGAGAATTCTATACTCAGTACTCAGGAGAAGAGTTTGGCTCACTCACTGCCTCATGCACTTGGATCTGGTTCTTTGCTAAGGAAGGACCATTGTACTCTACCCCTTTCCTCAATCACAAGAGTATTTGATAACAGATTGTTCTAATTTGAAAAGTTCTGATTTTTGGAGCGTCTTCTGAATATATGTTTTGTTAAGAAAGATAAGATGGAGGACAAAAAAAGAAAGCCAGAATTATACAACAGAAATATACAGACCTCTCTCATTAAAAAAATGTTTTTAATTATATATTTGATACAATTATGGTATAGGAGAAAAAGATATGCTATAATTTCTGAAAAGAAAGATAAAAAAATTTTCTGGGGCACTGGAATATTTTTACAATAATTAGTAAATACCTTTCAGATTGTGGAGATGAATTTTCAATTCTTTTCAGCAAATTTCCTTTTTTAAGGCAGAATTTACTCACAGAAATGGCTGTTCTCTAGTTTCAGCAAGAGCCTCCTACCCTGACTTCTGTCAACATCGTAATGACTTTGCCATGTGACAACCACGGCAAAAACATCAATGTTACAAAATGAATTACATATTTAATTATTTCAGTTT